CCGAGCTGGAACGCCGCTGGGACAGCCTGGTGGCGCGCTCGCTTGCGCGGCTGCCCGCGGCCGCGCGGCCCAAGGAGGCGGCGGTGCAGAGCGGCGCCGGCGACTACTTACTGGGCATCAAACGGCTGCGACGGCTCTACTGCAACGTGGGCATCGGCTTCCACCTCCAGGTGCTGCCCGACGGCCGCATCGGCGGCGTGCACGCCGACACCGGCGACAGTGAGTGGGCAGGGCCGCGGGCGCCCCTTCACCGGGTCGGGCACCAGAGCGGGGACACGGAGACTCGGACAGGCTTGGCTTCCAGAGTCGCCGCAGGCACCGGCTTGCTATCCCGGCAGCCGAGCCCCCCGCCTCCCCGCCTCCAGAAACCCGGGCTCCAGGAGCCGAATTCCAGCGGCCTCACCCGTGGGCCCCGGCGCCCGCGGGGGCCCGGGACGCGTGCCCAGGCTTGGCCCGGGTTTGGGGACTGCCCCGGAGTTGCTGCGGCCGTGCGTCCCGCACGCTGGGCTCCCGGAACCCCTGAGGTTAGCGTGCGTCTGGCCGCTTTCCATCCACATTCATCCCAGAAATGGGGGTCCGCGGGGGCGCCCAGGAGGCAGGGAGTCCAGGAGAGACAGCGCAGGCCAGGAGTCCCTTGGCGCCGCCCGGAATGACCCTCTCCCCCGCCCCCCCCCCAGGCCTGCTGGAGCTATCGCCCGTGGAGCGGGGCGTGGTGAGCATCCTCGGCGTCTCCAGCCGTTTCTTCGTGGCCATGAACAGCAAGGGCAAGCTGTATGGTTCCGTGAGTAGCGCAGGGGAAGCCGGGCCCTGGGCTGGGGCAGCATGAGCGGGATTGGCCCGCTCCAGAGAGACCTGGTCAGGGGGCAGTAGGCGGCTCCCGGGATGCCAGGGCAGGCGTCATGCTGGTGCGGCCCAGCTCAGACGGGGACAGCAGCTTGGAAGCAGGAACTCTGAGGTTCCTAGCCAGCCCGGTGGGTGCCTCCTGTCCTAGCAAACCCCCGTGGGAGCCCTTCCCTGTAGGCCAGGGGACCCTGGTGGGCAGGCAGTCTTCAGGGCTCACAGAGCCCAGTTGACATTCTCTGACCACCAGGTGCCAGGCAGGTGGCAGAAGCACCGGCTGCTGGGGGCTGGGCTGGCTATGCCCCTCCTTCTCACCCTGTGGGGGTCTTGACAACTTCCCGGGAGCCACCTGAGCTCCTGGCCCCGGGCCGGCCCCGGGTCGGCCTTCATGCTGGCCCCTTCTCTTCCAGCCTTTCTTCACGGAGGAGTGCACGTTTAAGGAAATTCTCCTTCCTAACAACTACAATGCCTACGAGTCCCACAAATCCCCGGGCATGTTCATCGCCCTGAGTAAGAACGGGAAGACCAAGAAGGGGAACCGAGTGTCCCCCACCATGAAGGTCACCCACTTCCTCCCCAGGCTGTGACCGTCTGGAGGCTCCAGCGAGGGTAACATGGAGGCCAACCTCGTGCACTTTCTTTGGATGGCGACTTCGACGCGACAGTAGTAACATATTTAATTGTTTAAAGGTGTATGTATTGCTTCCAAGGTATTTATGGTTCTGTGCGTGTGTTTCCTATGTTTCTGAGGAAAAGAAAAGGACAAGCAAGAGATCACCTTCATGTGATACAGCCGTGCAGAACCTGACGTTGGACTTATTGAACTTGTCAAAAAAAAAGGCATCACAAAGGGGCTGTTTTTCTGTGTTTTCCAAAGCAATGAACTTGGATGCTGTTATCAGCCCTGCTTTGCACCTGCTGGCCCCTCAAGTGTTGAGGTGAGCATCCCCGAGGACAGACAAGCCTTTCTGGGCTTGGAAAGCCCACTAGGGAAGGCTTCCAGCCTTGCCTTTCTCTTCCAGTCTTCCAACGTCCCACTCCCTGCACCCTGTTGCTATTAATTGGGACGTATCGGTTTACTTCGGGGACAGAGTGCACAGTCGAAGTCCCCCGCTGCCACTCTGTTTTTAGACCTGCCAAGGCTGACCTTTGAACTCTCCTGTAGTCAATCTTCCGCAGTGCCGTCCACCAGGCGGGAGAGCCCAGAGCTGCCTCCAGGGCCTTTTTTGGGATCAGTCACAGTGTCCGCGGATGGAGGGGTGGGGTGTGGGGAGGCCAACGCAATTGTCAATTCCATTGAAAGGGATTGATATCCTCGCACTGGAAGCTTGGGAAAGGGACAAAATGGGGCAAGATGGGTGTGTTCCCAGCCCTGACCACCCCGCTAGGGATGGCATGTCTTGTGGTGCACCCAATCACGTAATCTAAAACCCAAACTCACTGCCGTCTAGTCGATTCTGACTCCTAGCAGGATGCTGTAATACCCACTAGAAACCAGCAGCCCCCCACCTCCCCGCGGGCTGAAGGACGCTTTCGACTAAGCGAGCTATTCCTTGTAGGCGAAGTGTCCTTGTCGTTGCACCACTCAGTGTGGCTTTTGTGTGTGAGAGGATGCTGCAGCTCTCTGGACTTTCCCTGCTTGAGTGGAATTCACGTCTACCTCGCGAGCCCTTGCCCCAGTCATCTGGCCCAGTCCGTGAAGAGTTCAGACCTGGTCCAGGGTTTGCCATCCCAAGGAGCGTTTTATTCTTTCCCCCATGTGGAGCCAAAAAGGGTTGCAGATTGCTTCGGTGCGCCCCATTTGAACTTTGTCACGTTTGAGCTATCTTTACTCTAGGATTTACTTTTAGTAAGGATAATCATGGTGAAAATATTTGCAGACAGCTGTTAGAGTGCACTATATGGTCACCAAGTAACCTTATAGTTTTCTTTATATATTTTACAAATGTAACCCCTGTCGGTGAAGCAAAGATGGAAGCGGCAGCGGCGGTAATGTTTAAAAAAAGTCCTGAGGTGATGGCAGACATTTAATTTTAATGAACGACTTTTTAGAGTTCATACAGCATGACCCTCTCCAGCCACCAGAGAAGCTCCCGATGTGACTCCAAGACTTTAAGGCACGCTTCCTAGCTGTCTCCCAAATTAACTTTATGAGACTCTGCAGATGACTGGGGAAGTCTGATTGGAGCTTTTGTCTTTCACATTCCTGTTTCGAACTCTTTGTTCGAATGCAAATCATCCACTTAAAATCCTATTCTTAACCGAGGCCTGGGAGAAAGGAGCCAGTGGCCAAACCACAGAGGCAGGACCAGAGCTCTCAAAGGGCCACCTCAAGAACAATGCTTGTGGCTTTAAATTTTAAGCCACGCCCTGAAGTCCAGGTGGGTTGAAGAAAAGGGATGCTTGAACATCTCCGACCTGTTTGGGGAGCGATTCGTGGAGCCTTTGTAGTCAATGTAATGTGTTCACTTTGTCACCCTGATCATGGTCAACGCATTACATTACGATGTCTTGTCTCAGAGCCCAATCAAATTGTCAGAAGAGAAGATGTCTTAGGAACCAAATTCTGACATCCTTGATCATCTATCTATTTATGGAACATGTGTATGTATATATGTATTGTCTGGTCTGTTTCTTCAGTGTCGTGTGTGACGCACTGGGGACCTCACTGTGCCTTTGAGATATTGTAAAGCGTTCATTGCTGTGGTGGGGATTGAGGGGTCCGTGCACGGAATCTGTCTGTAGTTTTATACAGGTGCCGATGGATACTGGGACGTATGTGCTGTGCACATTTAAATGCAGAATAAATGATGACCCGTTATGTATTTTTAAAAAAGCTGGATTGGGTGTAAATGACATGAATAATTGGGAAAAGGATTAAAAGATCAGAACATGTTGTGAAGTGCCAAAATGTGGTTCCCTCCCTGTCTTCCAGTGCCTTTTCTATTTGAGGCCTTGAACCTCACATTGCTGGGGGTGGGGTGGGGGCAGGGGAGATGGATTCCAGCCAGCTGTGTCCACACAAATGCAGCCTTGAGAACAGGAGCCTGGGGGCCTCAGTGTCACCAAGTTCTGCAGGGACTAAGATGAGGATGGTTTACTCTCATTCTCCCCATGGGGCCAATTCTTGCCCTCCCCCTACCGTGACTGGCCAATCTCTGTGCCCTTGGCTTTGCATGGTGATCTCCAAAGCTATCGACACTGTAGGGGCGGGTATATTTTCCACACTTCAAGGTATCTCCAGTGGGCCTGGAAATCTACATAATGGCCCCAACTCACCTTTTCCAAAGAGGAGATGGGATGAAGTAGCGTTGGGAAGGAAATGTCAGGGTCCCAATGAGTGGCATCTGTTGGCATCATCAGCTAACGCACTCCGCTGCTAACTGGAAGGTTGGCTGTTCAAGCCCACACAGAGGGCTTTTGAAAGGAAGACCTAAAGGTCTATTTATGAAAGTCAGCCACTGGAGACCCTGTGGACAGTTCTGCTCTGAGCCACGGGTCACCCTGAGTTGGAACCCCCCACTTGATGGCAACTGGTAGGTTGGTGGGTATCAGTCATCCTCACGGTGCATATTGTCCTGTGAAACTTTGGTCTGAATATTGATGGTATCATTGTGCACAGAACACACACAGACAAGGGGCCTGCTGGTGCTCACTGAAAGGCCAGAGGTTCAAAGTCACTCAATGGTTCCAAAGAAGAGAAGACCTGGTGACCTGCTCCTGAAGTCTAGGAAGCCCTGTCAACATACATACAGAGCATTCATATGTGTACATTTGTATACATGTGTATGTGTGTAGCCATGTACTTAGCAGTGACTTTTATATGCTTATATGTTAGCACAGTGCCTAAGGCACTTGACTGCTAACCAGAAGGCTGGTGGTTCAAACCCACCATCCACTCCTCGGAAGGAAGGTTGGGCAATCTATTTCCGTAGTGATACCGCCTCTGAAACCCAAGGACGGGTCACTATGAGTCGGGTTCGACTAGACAGCAGTGATTTTTTTTTTTTTTTTTAATGTATTTAAATCTATTTATAGGTCAAAACTCAATGCTGTTGAGTCAATCCTGACTCATAGTGACCCCTCCTTGGGTTTCTGAGGCGGTATCTCTATAGAAATAGATTGGCCAATCTTTCTTCCGAGGAGAGGCTGGTTTCTGCTAACTAAGTACATAACACTACCGTGGACTGCACTAAACCCACTGCCATCAAGTTGCTTCTGACTCACTACCACCCTATAGGACAGAGTGGAACTGCCCTTCCAAGGCTGTCAATCTTTATAGAAGCAGACTGCCCCATCTTCCTCCCATGGTTTGAACTGCCAACCTTTTGGTTAGCAATGGCACACTTAATGACTGCACCACCTGGACTCCTGTATGGATTACATTAAACCAAACCCAAACCCACTGCCATTGAGTTGATTCTGACCTATCGTGACCCCCAGAGGGTTTCCAAAGCTGTCAGTCTTCACAGAAGCAGATTGCCTCATCTTTCTCCCATGGAGTGGCTGATGGGTTCCAACCTCCGACCTGTTGGTTAGAAGCCAAACACCCTAACCACAGCACCACCAGAGTTAAAATTAAGTGCTAACCTGACAGGCCTAGAATGTAGGATTGCTCCATAGAATATATACCCAGTCACTTTACAAAGTGACCCCCGCATCCGTCAAGGTTGAAGGATCCGCCCTTGTAGCTCTCTTGAGCTCTGAGACAACACACTTGTCCACTCCTCCATCCTGATGACACTATGACTATGAAGTGCCTGGTGGTGGTTAATGTGGGGCCCTCTCCCTTCTGCTGGTCCCTATGGTCCCCTAAGGGCTCTGCAGGGCCACCTGCACCTCAGCTGGGGCTCTCCAGGGGGGCCTTGATGCTCTGTGCTCAAACTGGGAACACCTTGTCCAGCTTCTGGGGTGAAAAGTCCCCCCATTTTCTGCAAAGCCATCAGCTGAACTTAGCTTCCATGTGGTTTCCCAGCCTCGAGCATAAGCAGTAACTGACCCGTGGTGCCCCCACGTGTGTCCGGGTGGAACTGTGCCCCTTAGGGGTGTCAGTGGCTGATTTTCAGAAGTAGACACCAGGCCTTTCTCCCAAGGGACCTGTGGGTGGACGTTAGCCTGCAACCTTTTGGTCAGCAACCAAGCTTGTTCACCGTGTGCGCCCCCCAGGTGTCAAAGATGGGCCTGGAAAGGCAGTCACTCATCCACTCACTCATTCATTCGTTTGCTGAGTGCCTGCTGTGTGCCTGGCACACACAAATGAGGATACTCCGTATCGTACGGGAGTCGGACAGGAAGCGTGGACATAAAATGCCCAGCAAAGGGGAGACCGCACTCACCTGACATCACAAAGAAGAGTAGGAAGAGGCAAGGAGGCCAAGGTGGGCCTCACCAAGAAGGTGACATCTGAGCAAAGACAGGAAGCAGGTGAGAGAGAACACGCAGGGGCACCTGGGAGAACATCCCAGACAGAAGCAGCAACATGGCAGCAGCCCTGGGGCAGGATGGAGTGACCTGTCTGAAGGGCAGCAAAAGACCAGTGTGGCTGGAGTTGCAGGAGGGGGTGGGCTCAGAGGCCAAGAACATCGGG